TAAGGCAATTCTTAGCAAGCTTATTTACGTTTCTGGGGAGACTGACTCTCTGACACCTGGTATGCAGCTTCCATTTCCAGCACACCTCGATTTGGACTGGCCACCAATGATGGGCTCATTAGCCACTGTCGTGAGTGGGCACCATATTGGATAGGGTGCAGCTCTAGAATGTGGGCTCTCCGAGGGTAGGGACCTAAAGTAGCCCAGGCTTTGTTTAGTGGCCAGGAGGGTGTCCTCGGGAGAGGGCACGGCATGCACAAAGACACAGGGGCATGAGAGAACGAAGAATGTTCAGGGAACAGCAAGCCATGTGGTGTGGCCGGAGTGTAAGGTAAATCAGCCGAGAGGAGTGAGCAGCGGGGCTGAATCTGTGCCTGGTCAAGAAAGGCCCTGAATAATGTGCTAAGGAATTTGGACTTCGGTTATGTGGGCAACTCAAGCTATCATTTATTTATAAGCAGAGGAATGTTGTATTCAGGTTAAGGCTTCAAGAGAGAGCTTCTGGTAGGCAGCGTGGAGGCCAGCTACAAAGCTGATGCAACAGCATACTTGGGGAATGATCATGAGGCAGTGCCTGGAGGGACAGTAGGAAGGCAGAACCTCAGGTCCTGGAGACTGGCTGACTGGAGGTGGAGTGGGAAGTCAAGAATAACTCCCAAGTTTCTAGCTTGTGGTGCCAGTTTTCTGGGCCAGGACACATAGGAGGAAGGGGAGGAGGAGCAAGTCTGTTGAGGACATCAAGAGTTCAATCTTGGTACATGCTGACATTGAGATAGTAGCAGGATGTCTTGGTGGACGTGAGCAGTAGTGGTTAGGATATTCTGTGCTAGAGTTCATAGGTGGTAGTGAGCTCCCTATCACTTGTGGCATTCAAGCAGGGGCTAGACAAACACTAGCCTAGGATGCTGTAGGGGTCTATGTGCATCTCAGGTGAGTTGGGCCTTGTGACCTCTCAGCCTGGACAGTTTCTGACCCTAGGGTTTTGCTGCATGTTTGTGTGGGATGCTGTCTATTGGCGCTTGGACATGTCTATAATTTGGGGACCTTTGTGGTCTAGATGTGGTTTGCTTTTTTGGACCTTGGCCCACACCGGAACTGCAGCAGGATGCAGGCATGATGGCTGCGTGGAGGCAGAGGCTCCCTCCCAACAGACCACGAGGGAAACTAGCCCCAAGGTTCTATTGGACACGTATCGTATCTTAGAACCACAGAACAAGAAAGATCCTGATCTTCAGCTGGCCTCCCCCAACTCCTATTTGATTGAAGGGCAAACCGAGGGCCTTGTTCAAGGTCACAGAGCAAGGCATGACTTCTCCCAGGGGTGGGCTCATGTTAGAGACCGGCACCGTCTCCCCAAATCCCAAATGCTGCTAGTGTTTGCAGCTCCTTGCCCTTCCTTGGCACAGGAGATATTCTTTAACACACATGGAAAGGGATCCTGCTTCTTTTTAATTAGGAGGAAGATACAAAGAGAGAAGTCAGACAGCTGCCCCCACCCACAGTTGGAAGACTAAGTGCTCCCCAAATTACACAGCAGATGCCAGGGCTCCGGCAACAAGACCCAGCTTGATAGCTTTGTGGTAACCACAGCCAGCACAATTTTATTTTTATGTTTTAACTCCTTGGTGATATATAGACCTCTCACAGGCAGGAGAAATGGCATCCAGAACTTCTCCTTTAAAAAAAATTATTTTTGAACTTACACAACACACACCCAGTTTAATTAACCCTTTTGTCAGGAAGCTTGGTCTGCCCCAGGCTGGTGAGAGAACTGTTTGTCCCCTGTGAGGAGGGAATAGTGCAAAAACTGTGTGCCAGCTGGGCCACCGCCCTCCTGGGGGACCCCCGGGTCCTCATTGGACAAAGGGCTCTGTGGGCAATTTTATGCGCCTCTTCTGAGGTCTCTATTTTCTTCTGCTTTTAAAATTTTAGCCTCAGGTCCTTGTTCTATAGGAGTCCCTGCATCTCATCTCTGCACCCCTCAAATCTCTGTTTCCATGCAGACTTGCTATTCAGAAGTGGAACCAGAATGTTTTGAATCAAAGCTCGCCTCTGACCCCTCCCGCTCCCTCATTTCCATGCTCTTAGGGGACTAAGGTGCCCCCCACCCTTAGCCCACTCCCATCTCTCAGCTCTGCTCTTGTCTCTCTAGCCATATTCACTCTACCTCATGTCACCTGTATTATTACTGCACCTCTTTCTGTCCTCTGGTCTCCCTTAGCTTTTTAATGCTCGGCTTTGCTTTGTCACTTCCTTGGGCAGAAAACTTCAGGGACCCCTGCCCCCATTGTCACAGGATAAAGCTCCACCTTCTGCACCTCCTAGCCCTGGTGTGTCCCAAGACCTAGCCCGTTTCCTCCACCCCTTTATGTTTTCCATGTTCCATTCATTCCATGTGCAAATATTTGTTGAGCCCCCACTATGTGCCAGGAATTGTGTTGGGCACTCAGGAAATAAATAGCTGGTGCACAAATGCCCAGAAAGCAAGTGTGTTTGGAGAGCTTGGGGGTTCAGGGGCTCTGAGGAGGGGCACCCAAACTGAGAGAAGGACTGGGCTGCCGCCAGCTCTCTCCTCACTGGTTTCCTGTTTACTATTAACAGCTGCCCATCCCTCCTAGTGCACAAATACCCAAGCGAACCTTGGTATGTTTTCAGACCGGCAGCTCAATCACAAACGTGAAGCAGGAGACTTGAAATCCGGCTTCAGCTGCCTTGAAAACCTGCAAAGGAACCCCCTTTAATCCCTCCTGCCCCATGCTCTCCCCAACTTCTACCTTCCTCTCTCCCCTTAGAGGACATATGGCCCCTTGAAGTTTTTGTTTGCTGGCAGGGGGAACCCCCCCAGCTTTAGTGTGGAGAGTCCCCCCCTTTTTATTATTAAGCATCAAGAGATATAGCAATCTGCTTGCAGATACTGTACGTGCATAATTAATAAAATCTCATTATTTATTTATAAACAGACACACGAGGAACTGGAGAATTAGGGCTATCCCCATTATATATGAAGAGAGGGGGAGAGAAAGAGTGGAAGAGGCGAAATACTTTTTGAACATTAGCTCCTTCCAGAGAAGTGTCTCTTAATATGCAATGAATAAAAAGGCATGTACTTCTCATCGAAGTGGTGCTCTGTGCCCGGAGGCTCAGAAAGCAGAAACCTGGTTCAGGAGCTTTAAAAAGGAACGGGACCCATTGGGCGGTGCGCAGTGCCCAGCATGCCGGCTTGGGGTAGCTGGCAGGAGAGCGAAGAGGCACCGTCGAGGGTTTGGCCGTGGGGAAAGAGGCTTGAGAGATTAGGGCATAGAATCCCTGGCAGGTGTTGGAGAAGCGGGCACAGTCACCCCACTGGGAACCGCTTAAATAACCCAGATGCCGGCTAAGGGGAGCCCCTGGTTTCTCTGGCCCATTGCAAGTCGAGGGTCACATTAAGTCGGTGGTGGGCTTCCAAGTGGCAGCTTTGCCCTTGGCCCTCTGCTCCCGGCGGCCCAGGCAAGACCGCCAATATCCACAACCCAACTTCTTATATAACAGCCTCTGAGACCAGGGAGGCAGGGGTCAGGTCCTCCCAGGCTTCTCTCTCCGCTCCCTCTCCCTCTCTCATTTTTTCTTGAGACACGCTTTAAAATAGAAAACAGGCTTGTGCAGGAACCAAACCCATAAAAAGGGGGTGGGTTTGTAGGGATTGCTGCTCCCCACCTCCCCCGAGCGCGAGCAACCCGTGCAGCGCGACGCTCGGCCGTCCCCGGGCGGCGGGCTGCGGGCGGGGGCGCGGGGGGCGGCGCGGGGCGGGCGTCGGCATGGGCAGCAGCCCCCGCAGGGTTACCCGGGCGCGTGCAGGGAAACGTCTCAGCAATTCCAGCGCCCGAGCGGAGCGCGCGGGGGGGTGGGGCGCGCGGCGCGGGGATCCTCGAAACCGCCGGCGGCCGCGCGCTGATTGGCCGAGCCGCCGCCTCGGCGTTCCAGCCAGGCGCCCCTCCCCCCGCGCCGTCCACCCCGGAAGGAATTTCCTCCTCTGGCGGCCGCTATTGTTGTCCGCCTTCGCTGTTTGGGTCGGATCGCGTAACCATAGTATCCAAACTGTGTCCGCGCGGGGCCCCAGCCCGGGACCCCTGTGCCCCCAGCCCCCCCAGCCCACCCCCCCACTATTTTTTTCTTTTTGCGGCCTACTTATCATGACTTCATCGGACTCCGGGGAGCTGGGAGGGGGTTGGGGCGGGGAGCTGGCCCGCTTCTGGCGGCCCTTACTTCGAGATGTTTTCAATTATAATTTTTTAAAAAGTCTGCTTTGTGGGTTCGGGGCTTTTAAATTCTTCCTACTGGCGCCCCCCGTCCGTTAAACCGTTGGACTAAACTCGAATGGGCTTTTTCTCTCCGTTCCCCCTTTACCGTCTTCGCGCCAGCCCCTGACTTTGCGGGTCGCAGCTGGGGTGGGGGCATTCGCCGCAGGAGTCGCCCCCGACGCAGCCCCTCGGACTGTGGCTGTGTCCCGGCCCCTGGCCCGGGGGTGGGCTGGGGAAGGCCAGGCTGGCGGTGGGGTGGGCACTTCAGACCCTGCGGGCACTGCCCCGCCCCGGGGCGCTTCCTGGCGGGGTTGGGGGACCCCCGGAGATGGATCTGGGGAAGGTGGTGCGGATGGATGAGTGGCAACGGGATAAAGGGTGACAGGGGAAGCAGCTGACAGGTTCTTGGAATAACAAGCCCCCTCGCCCCTCGAATTTCTCCTGCGGATCTCTGAGCACAGACATCCCAGTCCGCGCGAGCAGTCTCTGCCGACTGCCGGCCCCCCACCCCCCGGCAAAAACAAACCCCAAACAAAAACCCTATCCCCAAGAAGTGCATTCTGCTGGGAGAGGTGGGGAGCCAGCAGCAAGTCCGCACCGAGCGGGCTGCGCGGCGCGGGAGCCCCCGGGCTGGGGCCGGCAGCGGGGGGCGGCGTGCGCGCCGGGGGCGTCCAGCATTCCCAGAACTCAAGTATTCTCCCGGCGCTCGTTGGGGCGGGGGCAGTGGCGGTCGCGGCCCAAGTTCGGGGCAACACTGCCCCCTAGGGGTCGGCGCCTGAGGTTTGCAGCCAGGGCGGCGAGGGGTCTTGAGGTTTGGGTCTAGTCCTGGGACAAGGGTCTCTGCCTGCAGTGTTTTGGGCAGGGATGCCCCAGCAGACTTGTGACAGCCCAGAGGAAGGCCTCCAAGTGTCAGTGCGGGAGACTGGGGAGATAGGGTGGCGGGATTTGCATTTGTGCTCTAAAATTTAAAACTTTGGCAGACAGTTGAGTGCATCTTACAGGCTCTCAGTGATGGATCTGACCTTTAAGATCATTGGCTCCAGTCCCCTCATTGGGCAGTTGGGGAAATAGGTCCAGAGAGGGGCGTCACTTGCTCGGGGACATACGGTTTTGAACTCAGTCCTCCTGGTTTTCTTCTGGGGTCCTCTGTCTTTTTGGGGGTCACAGAATCCTCTTTCATCCCTAACATGGATGGCACCTTGTGAGAAAGGCATTATCAGTTTCATTTACAAATCAGAGAGGTCTTGACTTGCTCAGACAATCCCATCTTGAAGTCTGGCTGTCTATACCATAGAGACTTTGGGGGACTTGAACCTTAGACTCAATTAGCAGGCCACTGCTAATTAGCAGGCCCACTGCTCTGGGCCCCCAGTGGTGTTCTATATTCATCCCTGACAGACCAGGGTGTGGGGTCCACCAGAAGGGAATGAGTTTGCTGAAACCTGGGTTCTAGGTCTCTGAACAGCTATCATCTCTGAGCCTCAGTTTCCCTATCTCTAAAATGGGGGGTGGCAAGAGGATGGGGAAGGCATCTTGCATCTCCAGTGGTGGGTGACACAGTTGGCTCCTCCTCTTCTGTCTGCCATGCCCTCTCTTCTGGCTCTCCCTCACTCCTGGGTTGGGGCCTTCCCTTCCTCCCTCCCCGCAGGGCCCCTGCGGCCCTCCCCTCCCCCGCCCCTCCTGGCAGCCGCAGAGCTGACTGCGGGAGGCAGCAGTGGGCAAGGAGCCAGCAGAGCGTCAAGTCAACCCCTAGGGAAGACGGGGTAGGGGGCTGCTGGCTGCTGCTGAGGCTGAGGCTGCTGTCAGAGGCTGCAGCTCTGAGCTGGCGGGGTAGTGTCCCTGGAGGTTATTTGTGTCCAAGGTAACTGGTGTCCGAGCTGACAGCCAGCCTCCCCCTCTCTCCCTAGAGACAGGGGCACTGCTCTGGGAGTCATCTTGACTCCTCCCTCTCCCCTACCCGCCCACAGACAATCAGGCACCAAGTCTTGGCCTTTCTCCCCTTAAATATCTCCAGCCCTTGCCTTTCCCCCATCCCCTCTGCAGCCGAAATCCCGCCTGCTGGTCTCCCAGGAGCTCTAAACTGGGCCCTCTGAGCCTCCACACTGTCCTGGAACCTTTCCTGCAAACGCTGACCTACCTTCCCTCGCCCTTGTGACCAGCCCTCTGGGACCTGGGGCCTGGGCCTGCCCACCTCTCCAGCCTCATTTTGGGTTCCTCTCTGACACATGCCTTGTGTCCTAGTGACATTGCATGTGACTTCCAGTGCCTGCCATGCTCCCTGGGCTCCACAGTCAGGGCCTGGCAGGCCTTTGGGATACTGAGGTGGACAACTCCAGCCCTTCCCTGCAAACAGCTTACCAACCCTTGGGGGGACCACGAGCATGGTCACAAAATGATTGTTGGCAGAATGGGGTCTTAAGAGGACCCTCACCCTGCCTGGGGGGGCATCAGGGAAGGCTCCTGCAGGAGAAGGAACTGGTCCATACACAGAGGTAAAGGGGGAGGCAGTTCAGAGAGAGGGAATGTCACGCATGAGTTGGGAGAGACTCTTAAGGCTGTGGCGAGACAGGGTAGCTGAGGCGTAAGGGGAGACAGCGCTGGAGAGAGGGGCAGATGCAGGTGGCCCTGTGCCGGCCTCAAGAGCTGGGACTTCCATGTGCAGGCCATGGGAGCTCTGTGCTGGGCCACATGTTGGGAACGCCAGGCCCTGGGAGTGCAGAAATGACTATTTTTATCTACCCAGTCTACCTTCTTATTTCCTGCTTCATTCCAGAAAAGATCTGAAAGAGCACTAGAGAAGAATCAGATCTGATCCTTGCCTTCAAGGAGCTCGCATACTGGGGTAGGTGAAGAATAAACCGGGTCAAGGCAGAATTAAGAAAGCACAGACAGAACTTTCTAAAGCACATCCCTGGCGGCCCTGCTCATCCCTGCTTTAAACCTCTTCCTCGGCTTGGCTCCCACCTTGTGTGGCACTCAGGGCGGTGGGGGCTCCAACTCCCCTCAGCCATACCCCTCCTCACTCCCTTTACTCCAGCCAATTAAGTTATTTGCAGTTCCCTAAAAATACAATGTTCTCTCCACCAGTCAGTTGTGGCCCATGTGTCACTCCCTCCAGGAACCCTTCCTTGATGCCCAAAGCTGGTTTGGGTTCTTCCTTTGAACTCCCATTATCTTTGTGCTTCCTTCAATCACAGCACCTATCCCAACATAGACTAATAAATGGGCTGGGCGCAGTGGCTCACGCCTGTAATCCTAGCTCTCTGGGTAGGCCAAAGCAAAAGGATTGCTTGAGCTCAGGAGTTCGAGACCAGCCTGAGCAAGAGCAAGACCCCGTCTCTACTAAAAACAGAAAACTTAGCTGAGTGTCATGGCACACACTTGTAGTTCCAGCTACTTGGGAGGCTGAGGCAGAAGGATCCCTTGAGCCCAGGAGTTTGAGGTTGCTGTGAGCTATGATGATGTCACTGCACTCTACCTGGGCAACAGAGCAAGACTGTCTCAGAAAAAAAAAAAAAAAAAAAAACCCACGAAACCCGTCAGGAGACTGGCAAGCTCCATCTCTGATTCACTCCTGGGGCTCCTGCGGGTCATACGCAGCTGGGCAGAGTGGATACTCAGTTAAGTTTTTGTTGTTGAAGACATAAACTAATAACAGCAACAGACATTTATGGACGGCTTGCTGTGTGCCAGACACTATGCTGGCCACTTGTCACATATTATTTTCCTCTCTTACAACAACCCTATAAGGTTGACATTATCCCATTTTATAGATGGGGAAACTGTGACTCAGGGGAAATGACTGTCAACATGACAAACGTATTTGTCAAAACTCATTGAATTCCCTGGTTAAGATCTGTGCGTGTAAATTATACCTCGATTTTTAAAAAGAAAAAAAAGGGCAAGAAAACAGCTAAAGCATATACTATTCCTTATGTCTGAAAAAACCCTGAGAAATCAAGTTTTTTGTCATTACAAAAGAAAAAAAGAGAAAATACAGTTGGTGAGCAGCAGGGCCAGGACTTAAGCCATGGAGCCCGCCTCTAAAGCCCTTGTTGGTGAGATCTCTCTCTAGTCCCTGTGTCATATGGAGGGCTCCAAGACGGCTTCCCAGGAGAAAGTGGTCCTTATAGGATGTGGGGGTCCCATCCTGCTGACAGGAGGCATTCAAGGTAGGGGTGATAGTCCACAGTGTGTCAGAGCCAGGAGCTTGGTGTGTTGTGGTGCAGGTTAGAAGCGTGGAGGGGAGTGGAGGAGGTGAGGCTATGCAGATCAGCTGGGGCCAGCCATGGAGGGCTTCAAATGCCCAGATCCAGTTGGAATTAGCGTCCGGGCAGGTGGGAGCCATTGGCTCCCAGGGAACACTAATGCGAGCTACTTTTGGAGGAATGGGTGCTTTGCGAGCTACTTTTGGAGGAATGGGTGCTTTGGGGCTTGCCTGCCAGTGTTTGTTGCTCTGGACTGAGAGGGGCCAAGCTGGGAGTGGGGGTGGGGGCTTGGAGCACAGGGCATGGAGACACAGAGGAAAGGTGGAGCCTGCGGTGGGGGCTGGAGCGTGAGTGCCAGCAGGCCCAGTGGGTGTCCAAGGCCACAGCACCAGATGGGGTAGCAAGGTGGGCACATGGGGCCAAATTTAGCCTTCAGCAGAGCTGGGATTGGGGCGAACTCAGGCAGGGAGGAGACCAGTGGGGTGGCCAAGGCCAGGGGTCAGCACCTGGCCTTTCTGCTCACTCTCATAGCTGTGTGACCTTGGCTAATATAAGCCTCAGGTTTCTCTTCTGAAAAAGTGGAGATATTAATAGTACCTACCTCGCAGAATTATTCCAGAGATGAAATGAGCTGGTACGAAGTGGAGTACCATGCCTGGCTGACAGTAAATCCATAATACATGGTGGGTTTTTCCTCCTTTTCACCTCCTCCCATCCCTCGCCCAGTCTCTTCTTTCCATGAGCCCCCACTCCAGTGAATTCCATGTATGACCTTAACTATGCACGGGTCTTTGTAACATGTGTGTTGTTTTGGATGCTGTCGGTCTCATTCCGTAACTTCCTCCTCACACTCAACTCTGTGTGTGTTTGAGGATCTCTGTGTGGCTTCCAGTGGCTACACAGTTTCCTGCTGGCATGTCCCCTCCCTTTATTCACCCGTCCTCCTGGCAAGGGACATCTCCGTTGTCTCCAATTTCCTCCTCTCATAAATGAGTCCTTGGCAGAGTACCCTTGTACATGTCCCCTGCAGACCATGAGAATTGCCATGGGACATCCAGGGGTGCAATTGTTGTGTGTGGGACACACACCTACTTAATTTTACTAAATATCGTTAGGTTGCTTTCTAGAATGACTGAACCATTTCCCCCCACCAGCCCACATGCCTGCCTGCACTTGGTATTATCCAGCACTCTAATTTTTGCCACTAGGATGGGTATAAAGTGCTAACACATGGATTCTTGGATTATTAGTGAGTATGAGCACCTCTTCACGCGTTGGTTGTCCGGATGGCTAGCAAGTGCACGGAGAGCTCGCTCATCATCCAATGCTTGTCATTCTGTGCATTGCTTGTTATGTTTTTCACTGTTTTCTGTTGTGTTTCTCGTAACCTGCTGGGTACTATCCAAACATGGAGCTGCCTCAGAGCAGGTCTGTCCTTTGCTATGGGGTGGTCAGGTTGGCTCCAGGGACCTGACATGTGGCCAATGCTTCCCTTGATCCCTGGTATCCGTTCATTTGAATTGTATCCTTTCCTAAATCTTTCCTGACTGCTTACTTACCCTGTGTAGGCCCCAGGGACCCAAACGAATCGGCTACTCCTGCTTCTGAGAACACCCAGTGCAGTAAGGGAGACAAACTAAACGAAAAGAGTTATTCCAAAGATTACATGAGGTGATGCACAGAGAGCACTTCTCTGCTAGCGACCCTGTCCTGCCTTGATGACCCTGGCATGGGTGATGGAGGAAAACATCCATCGCTGTACCAACAAATCCATGGCAACCTTCTAAGCTGGCAGCTCTAAACTTGGAAGGCTCTTTGTTTATGCCGAACATCCTGAAGGGTGCCTGGGGCTGAATTTGGGGCAGGAGTCCTGGAGAACTGCTTAGCTTAGCTGACAAAAATTTGGATTAGGGGTGGAGTTGGGAGGAAGCAGTGAGGAGGAGAGATGGGGTGAGGTGTGTAGAGTGAAGAGGCCCAGCATGAACCCCAGCCATGGACAGAGATGTCTAATATTCAATGCCATGTCACTGGAGTTGTTCTGTCTCATTAGATCCTTGGCAAGGCCCACCAGGCCCTCATTTGCCTTAGGTGAGCATTTAGTGGAAATTAAGGAAGGGACTGAATTTCTGTGGAGGTCTCATGGCTTGTGACAGGTCAGCACCCACAGGATGGTGAGACAGTCCAAAAATTGATCCAAAACAGCAGAAGCAGAGATTTGGAATCAGAAGTGACCATGGCAGTGTAAGCCAGGCCCTGGGGAATTTGCAGAAATGTGGAGGAGTTAACTTCCAAGGGTGAAGGGGAGGGTTCGAGGTAGTCTCATTTAGATCTAAATGGGTTTTATAGCAAAATGTATTTTCTAAAAATGGTCACAATAATATCTCTCACCTTGTATGCTCCTCTTTCAATGTGACTTTGACGCTGCCATCAAATCGAGAGGCAGGCTCTATATCACCTCTCTTTGAACCTTGGGTGGAACTTTAAGATTGCCTTGACCAACAGAGTGTGGCAGAGTGACACTATTTTTATGACTAAGGCAAGGTCATAAAAATGCAATGTACTTCTGCTTTGTTCTCTTGGGAAGTTCTCTGTGGTAGAAGCCAGCTGCCATGGAAGCTGTGTGACTGCCCTGAAACCGCCATGCTGTGGGGAAGCCCAAAGGAGTTCAGAGAGACCACATGGAGAAGCTCAGAGACTAACTGAAGAGAGAAGAGTCCAGCCATCCCCTGTCCTCCGCTGTGCCATCTCCAGCTGCTGTCTGATTGCAGTGCATGGGAGACCCCAAGCTAGAACTGCCCAGCTGTGGCCCTTCCCAGTTCCTTACCCACAAACAGCATGGGAGATAAGAAAATGATTGTTGTTATTTTAAGCCACAAGGTTTTGGGATATTTGTTGCATAGCAGTGGATAATCCAAATAGGTTTATACTTATGCTGTTTTATATCAGTCTTCCCTGGTAGACTATAGTTATTGTTTTCAACTCTATTTCCTGCACTTAGTCGGAGCATGCTAGGTGTTATATGAATGAACGAAAGTTAATAGACCATATCGGCATGGTATTAGGGGGAACCAAAGGGCCTATGGGAAGACAGAGGAGGCTCCTAGCCCACCTGAAAGATCCAGGTGCAGTGATGCTGCTCTGAGTCCCTGGGTAGGACTGGGCACATAGGAATATCTCTTCCTTTCTCTGAGTCCTGCTTGTTCGTTGTTGGCCCAATTGCAACTTCTTGGCATGGTGTGTGTGCGATAGGTCCATCCTCATGTCCATTTGGGGGCATCCCTCTTCCCTCCCTCTGCCCCTGCTCTCTTTCCTCCCTCTCTCTCTAGGCCTGCAGCTCACTCTTCCTGCCTCCCCGACTCTGAGTCTGGCTAGAGAAAATTAAGTCAATGGGGAGGGAGGAGTTGACAAATAGACGTCCAGTAATTGAATTTTTTTCCCCCTAGCCCTCTCTCCACCCCCCAGAGAGCAGGAGGAATTAGCTCTCTAGACAGTGGTTTTCCCTGCTTAGGAACTCTGGTGGTTGCACCCCTCCCCTGCCTAAGGCGCAGGGGCGGAGAGAAGAGTGGCTGAGCCTTGTACAGAGGAGAACACAGAGGCCCAGGGAAGGGGAGACTTGCCGCAGGCGCTCAGGGGGTTAGAATCTGAGTCCGGAATAGAAGGGAAAGGCCACCCGGGCCTGGTCTTGCACTGCCCCAGGAAGGCAGGGAGCAGGGACTGGGAAGAGTTCAGTGCCTAGCAGGGACACAGGGTCTAGCCAGTTGCAGAAAACCCAGGGCGCCTGAGTCCGTGGCAGGAGGCAGGCCCTGAACCACAGCAGTTGGTTGGGATTTCCTTGGCTGGGAGGGGTGGAGTTGGTACGGTGCCCAGCCTGTGGCTCTGCAGAGCCAGCCACCCTGCAGGACCTGGCCACCGAGCACCCTCTAGGGGCGAAGGTGGGGGCCGCCCTCTCGGTACTGACCTTGGGCAGAGGGGAGGCAGGACCAGAAATATAACCGGCCATAGGCTGGAAGTCTCGCCAATCTGAAAAATGGAGATGGCAGCGTGGATCTGACAGGGCTGCAGTGGGGGGAGGATACCGGCTCTTAGTTGGCCCTCAATCCATAGTGCCTTGTTATTGCCTCATCGTCGGGAAGAAGATACTGAGGCTCTGGGCAGACCCCTGTTCTGATCCGCAGGCCAGCAAACGGCGGCGCCAGGATTCAAACCCCGGGCGGCCTGCGCACAGGCTTGTCATCTAGCGGGGAGGCGGCTGCGGGGAGGGGTGCAGAGCCTGGCTCCGCAGGGCAGGAGGGAGGCGGCGTTCTGGGCCGCCCCAACCCCCGGCCCAGCGGGGGTGGGCGCCGCCGCCTCGCCGAGCCGCGGTGGCTGCCTGCTCCGGGAGCGCTTGATTTATTAAGCTAATGTTCTAGCACATTTTCTCCATCTCGTAATGAGCTGTCTCCACCAGGGGGTGTCTGCAGAGCGACTGCGGCTTCCGGCCGCTCGGGGAGGGAGGCCGGCCGTGGGCGGGCGGTCTGCGGGAGGCTGGGGGCGTCCGGCCGCCCCCGGAGGGGTGAGGTTGCACAGTCTAGAAAACCACCCCTGGTGGGGGCCTGGGAGGAGAGGCAGAGGCCAGTCCTCCCGTGCAGCTTGGGAGGGAAACCCGCATTTCCCCTGCGACATCCTGGCAGGCTGCCCAGCAGCCAGGGGGCCTGAGCGGGAGCCCTGGCCCCGCAGCCGGTCCCTCCCCGCCCCCACCCCTCAACCGCTCCGCCTGCCTGCCTTGCTTATCTCCCGAGCTGGCATTTCTGTGGCTTGATGTGACAGTTATGTCCTCTGCTGCCACACGGATCCAGCCCAGCCACCTTCTAACCGTGACCTCTAGGGAATTCCTGACCTTTCTGGGTCTCAGTTTCCCATTTTAAAATGAGGATTAGGAGCTGTATTTGCGGGGGGTGGGGGGGGCTGTGAGGATGACCCCTATTGATGTCGGGGCAGACCTACTGGGCAGCATAACCCTGGTCCAGCTCACCAGGTGCGTGGCACAGGCACCCGGACACCTGGACACCATGATCCTGAGACAGGCAGGCCTGCCACACTTGCAGCCCTTCCCTGCTGCCAAGACGGGTCCAGAGGCTTCGCTTTCCTCACACCAGGCGGACAGTGCTTGGTGTTTTGGCTCTAAAAGACTGACTTCATTTTTCCTCACCAAACTCATTCTCCAGAGCTGGGACTCTGTCGGATTGTGTGAGCTGCTCGGCATTAAAACTGTTCCACTCGACGCTCATTCTTAGGTGTTTTAGTCTTTATTGCTATTTTTTCTTTAGCACATGCCTGGCGCCCGGAAGGTAACATCAAGCGACAGCTGTCACTGCTCTTCCCACCGCCCCCTCCCCCACCAGGGGGCAATAGGGCGACTAACCATTCCGTGGTGCCATGGTGGCATGGCTTCCCTGTGTACAGGGCAGGGTGGTTGAGTGGCTTGCCCAGGCACCTGGGACGTAGGTGCCAGAGCAAAGACTCCCAAACCTCCCACTCCTCCCTGGAAGCTGCCGAGGAAGCCTCCTGGTCTTCAGCGGCCCCCAGGACCAAGGGGAGGTTTCTCCGCTTCTTACTTGCAGCGGGTTAACCAGTGTTGGACCCTGAGTGAACGTGGAATTTTGTGGAACCTTTTCAGGAAGGGCTAAGTTTGGAGTAAGAGAGGCGTGGAGGGGCCTACCAAGGACCCCACAGGGTACCTGCAGCTGTTGTCTTGGTTTTTGTTCCTCACTGAGTTCCCCCAGCCCCACCCCTGCCTCAGAGATCTGAGCCGCCCAAAAGCATTTATGTGCAAGTGGATGAACTGAAGATTAAAGCAGAGATGGATGAGGCCATTTCTGTTCATGTCCTACAGCAAAAAACCTAAAGAAATCCCTCTTAGATGTTTTGTTCTCCCATGCCCCTGCCCAGCTGCCTGCCCTGGGGTCCCCCCTGTCACACCCCCCTCCCTGCTTTGGTTGGCTCTCTCTTTCCACCTCCCTCGCCAGCCTTCGCTCCCTCCTGTGGCTTCCCTCTGCACGGCTGGTGCCTTTGAGCATTCAGTCTTCTCTCCGCCACCTCCTCAGGGAGGCCTTCCCTGATCACCTGATGCAGAAAGCTCTCGAGCCAGCCCCCATCACGTTGCCACCTAAACGTTCCTTGTTTATGGCTGTCTCCCTCTGGCACTGAAGCTCTGCTGCCTTGTACCCAGGAGGAGCCCCGGCACACCGTGGGGAGTATTCCACTTTAAATTCCTTCCTTCTCAAATTCACCCGCGCCTCAGCTCATGGCTTCCAACTCACACGCCTAAATTTCCCTCAGGACTCCAGCTAACAGGGATTTTATGTCGACAGCCTTTTGCTAACACGTGGGGTGTTTGTTAGTTAGCAGGCACTAAGTGCTTTCCATGTATTAACTAGCTTAATCCCCACACCAACCCCTTGAGGTGGGTACTGTTATCATCATCCCCATTTTACAGACAAGGAAACTAAAGCCGGAAATAGCTGGCCCAGCCGTACACAGCCAATAAGTGGCAGGGGTGGGCTTGAAACCAAGGGGGTTGGTTCCCAGGAACCCGACCCCAGACCACTTCCGTTATAGGAGCAGCTGTGCCTGCCTGCCTCCCGCCCCTTATGGGATGTGGACGAGCCCTTGTTGCCCCACGTCTCCACCACACTGCAAATGCCTTTGAATATTTCTTCCAGATATATATTGTGTTTGCTCCAAACTAGATATGTTTGGAAGATCACAATTTCCTCCATTTTGTTATGCACGTAACAAAGCCAGCTTAAGAGAGAAAGGACTGTGCATAGAGGAGACGGGGCCTCTCCGGGAACCCGGGGAGCTGGGTCTCAGGACCCTGTGGGCCTGGCTGGCAAGCCGCCAGGTCTCATTTTGTCGCTCGGTGCCCCTCTTCTTTTCCTTCTTTGTGCTCATTCCTTTCATTGGTCATCTCTGTGGCCCAATTTTCTCTGTGTTTTCTGGGCTCCAAGCGGATGCTAACCGCCCCATGGAGCACTCACACACGGTCCAGCTCTGGGACGCCCCATTCCCAGGGTGAGAGACACAATCCAGCTGGCAGCGCTGGGACCAGGAGGGTCCGTCCGTAGCCCAGTTCCTGTGACGGGGGAGGGTGTGTGAGGTCCAAACGGGCTGTTGTGGCCTGTGGGGTTGTCCTCTTCAGAGGAGAGGTGGTGGTGAGCAAACAACACTGAAAGTGCCTGCCCTGGTCATAGGAACCTGGACACCAAATGGAGGAACTAAGCCTTGAGGTGAGGAGGGTTTTAAGGCAAGGAGTAGCAGGAGTTGATGGCTCGCCTGGGCTGGGGCAGAGTGGGCACAGGAGACCAGCCAGGGAGCTGTGACTCCTGTGCAAGGCAGTGAGGGCCTGGATGGGGCACACAGAGTGCCCTGAGGAGGAGCATTGGCCCTCCTGCCCTCTACCCTGGGCCGTTTTTGCTTCCACCCTCCCGGCCATCTCTAGGGCTCTCCACCCATGTACGCTGGGCGTTTGCTCCACACCTGGCCCGGTGCGGGGGCTGAGGCCCTGCCTCAGGGGCTCCCCACTATGGGAGAGACAGGACGGGACACAAACCCCAATCATACCAGAGAAGTTGGTGTGTGAGAAAGAGGGTCCGAGGTGCCCCGGAGACCCAAGGAGGCCAGAACTACTTTTGGGTGGGGCGTCACGGGCCGAGAGCGTGGGTCTGGGCCACATTCTGCAGAGCGTTGCTGCAGGCCTGCAAGAACAGGCAGGGGCCGAAGGCATGAAGCTAGGGACACGGGGTTTCCAGGGGGAGGGGACAGTGTGGGCAAAGGCATGAAGGTGGGAAAGTACAA